TTCCTCCTCTTCCATCTACTTTTTCCACTACAGAGAAATTGACTTTACATATAACCGGATAATGATCACTCCCTATAGTCCCATCTTTATATACTCTCCAATTACAAACTGATGCCAAATTATTTGATACTAAAGTAAGATCAAGCACTGATTCCTTTCCTGTCCTAATATCAATCCCAACTGAAGCGCTCTTTTAACTTTACCAAACGCATTCTATATGAGATACATCAGATATACATCAAATAAACACAATATTACAATGTACAATTGCACAAAAGGCTGCAAACGAACAGCGCGCATCTGAAGTGTCTCTGAAGGAAATAATGCATTATTTATCGGCTTTAAGATATCGGCCAAATTTTCTTATCAGGCCGATACCGATAACAGAAAAAATGAGCCGATATGGGCCGATACCGATATGGTGGCCGATATATCGTGCATCCCTATAAGGAAGGCTATGCAAATGAAGCATACACATTTTTAACGTGACTTTGGACCCATATCCGTGTCCGCAGAGTTTAACTGGCTAGACCCTGAATATAAGACGCCCGCGTTTTTTCAGATGTATTTCCAAGAAAAAAAATATTGTCTTATATTGGGTCAATATGGTAATATTTAATGCTACACGTTTTTATATAGATATCTGTGTAAAATATGACTGTGCATGTGTAGTTCGTGCAGTGTACCTGAAAGGCGCTAAATAAAGTAATAATAAAAAAAAGAAATCTGATTTTAAGCTTATATTAAGAGTAAATTTATGCAGAAATAAGCTTAACCTTACTCTTAATTATTGACACCCAATAAGATAATAGAACCATATAGTTTATGTGCATATATAGGGCACATTATTTGTTCTTGGAAATAGTACTCTACCCAATGCCTTTATCGAAACTGACTTACAGAATCAGTAACCCTGGAGCTTCCTTTGCTGAAAGGCAAATTAAATGGCTTATGACTCAATCCAATGCAAAACTAATTTGATTATTAATACATATTATTTGGTAGAAATGTTTAAACTCATATGGATACATTTTGTTTTGGTGCACATTTTGTGCACAAAGTTGTTGAGATCGCTTCTGAAATTTAGAGAGACACATGTGAGCTTCAGGGTCTATTAAAGCAGACCATATTGGGATTTTAGAGTTTTTCTCTCAGGAGAAAAGGTTGAGAAGCAGCAGACTCAAGCAAAAGTTTCAATTTGATGTTAAAGTAACCTTATTGTTAAAGAGATCTTATTTTTGGCTTTTCTTTCCTCTGGAATGTTCTGTCAAGTCTTCATTGTCAGTCAAGAACCTGAGTGTGCTATTTGATAGTACTTTGTCATATAAAAGCCACATTTCTACACTGTTAAAAAATGTCATGTAAAATTTAGTATATTCCAGGTTAATAATTGCATTACTTTCACAGTAATTTCACAGTAGGACTTTTCTTGTATCTTGTAATTTCTGGTAAACAAACAGCGTCATACTGTGTTTCTACAGTGCATATGTACTCTGAAGGCATGCAAATGCAGCATGAATAGATCATGCTGTAGAGGTTTTTAATTCTTGTTGGTTTTATTTGTGCTATTGAACTTGTTTTTGGTTCACTTTTAGCAGTTTGTGTTGTTTGTTTATTTTGTAATGTTGGTTTATGTTATAAGTGTTGTTTTCATTTGTTGAGTGTTACCATTGTTGTGTTTTGTATGTCGAGTATTGATGTCATCTCAGCAGTTGCTTCACTATTGTGAAAGATCCATCCACAAAAAAAATTATGAATATGAAATAAGTTATTGATTAATCTTCATGCTTAAATAATGCTCAAATAAAATCTTTATGTTCATGCTAAGAATAGTTTGACTATCTTAAAGGCAGGCAATTAGCTTATTTCCTATTCTAGCTTGTCATCATTTTGACATGAATTGATCAGAAATATGAATATTAATATGCCAGGTCAAAGAGATCAAACAAATGGGATCACCAATCACCATTATAGTGACTTCAAAACAATTACAGTAGTAAACAACTACATTTCTCACAGTGGCACAGACAACCTTATAATGTGAATTCACAGTAAAACAAGAGCAGTAAATTACTGTGATGTTTGCATCATTCTGCTGTTCTTTCACAGTCATTTGTAAGAAAATGACCAGGCATGCATTGATTTCACAGTAAATTTCTGACTACAGTTATTTATTGTAAAATAATACTCATTAATCCTGTAAATTTTTACAGAGTAACGTTTGTAAAATTACATTTTTTTCATCCAAAAAATATCTCTAAATTGAGACATATTTTTTTCTATGTAAAATGCATAAATCTTAATATGTGATTTAATTTTCTCAATGCTAGATTATTCTAATGCACTGGGTGGATGCCCTATAGGCATAATAAATAAACTCCAGCTGGTCCAAAATGCAGCAGCTACAGTGCTTACAAAATTGCATTTTAGTCAAAAGACTATGACAAAAACTAAATAAAAATTTGCTATCAAAGTTAACACTGAGACAATATATCAGTTTTTATATAGATTATAAATTTGTCTTTTGTTGCACACATTTCTCTTTTTGTAAACATTATCTATTAAACAGTATCTACTAAGATAACGACACCATAATCCAAGTGGAAAAGACCATTTTTTTTAATGCATAAGTGTTTTCTCCACCATAGTAAACTATTAAAGAAACCGCTTAATATAGCTTAACAAAATCATATGGTGATATAATACAAACTCAGTATACCTTATTAATGATTTATAGTAGTACATGTATAGAAGCACAGGCAAACAGATGAGCTCAGAAAATGGACACAACATGCAAAGTTTCACATTGTTTTCCCATTAAAAAAAACACTTAACATGACTTAATGCCTCAAGATAACCCATTCTATTACTACTCCAAGCACCTGTGCTCTGACACGATGGATTTGCAACTTTTCCGCGTATATATAGGCCCTGATAATCATAACATATACTTACCACTTGCTCTATTTCTGCAAATCAGTTTTTGTGAATGAAGACTTTTTTTTTAGTTGAAATATTCAAAGCTTAAATATACAACCACCTTGAATTTTGTTTCAACCCAACTTTGGGTCAAATATGGACTATCCCAGCTGTTGGGTTAAATTTTTACATTTTTAACCCAAAAGTTTGGTTAGTCCATATCTGAGCCAAAGCTGGGTTGAAACAACCCAGCATTGTTTTGAGTGTATACCTGTTAAAGTGGGGGAAAATCTATCGCAAAGCTGGCAAATTATTTGGAATTATTTTCTAATTGATTTCCTTTTTATCATGAATTATTATATGTAGCAACAATACAAACATGAAGCAAATGTACATTTCTATTACCTTAACAAGATTTACCTCAGATTTCTATCACTTTCCTTAGCATTACTTTTCTCGCCAATTGCTGTGAATCCTCACCCATCCATCCTTAATCTTGTATCATAAACGATTACATCATTACATTCAGGATTATAATGAACTGAAACAAATCATGTTTTGGCATTAAGCAGTTTTTTTTTCTTTCAATCTGCTCACAGCATCTCCAACACAAGTTATGTCATTATCTACACAGGAAAAAACATTTTTTACAACCCATCTTTTTTTCTCATTTTAAATTGTCATAATGCATCAAAAATTTGGCACTTTTGTTTGTTATTTCAAAGTCTGAGAGATGAAACAATAGAGTCAAATTCAGCAAGAAAAAGGGGAAAATACAGGAGATTTAATCCATTTTTTTGCTTATGAATAAAGAATTTTGCATTCAATATAAGGAAATTAACAACATATTCAACAGGTAATCGCTTTGGATTTTCATAATAAAAATAACGTCTTTGAGGACCCTTACGAAAAATAAGTTTATTCAAGTGTGCTATTAGTAAACTAAAAATAGGAAAGTATACTTTTAGTCTACTTTTTATGTACTTCTCAGAAATTGGCTTTATGTACTTCTCAGAAATATACTTAAAATGACATTTTAAGTATACTTGACTTGTACTTAGAAAAAGTCTAAATATATTTTAGTTATAATTGTGCTCCTAGAATCCGTGACCCATGAAGAGGTAATAATGACTGTCAAGCTTTGGGGTGTTGATCGAATTTATCTACGTTTTGATTATCATTCTGAATCCAATTCATAGACTTTTTTCAGCTTTTTGTTCAAAATGTTGTTTATTTCTTTAATTTTTATCTATGAAACTTATCCACATTCAAGTGTTTAAAAAAAGAATGCATGAAGCCAGAATAAAATGTTTTTGTTTACAAGCAGATACCATGTTCTTTCTTTTGGTGTTTTGTATGTTCAGATATTCATGTAACAAAATATATACAAATTCATACCCAAATAGGGACATAGTAGTATACTTAAAGTATGATGTAAAGTTCACTTAAAGAAAACTTACGAGTATACTTGCAGTATAAAACTACTAAACTAGTAGTTTACTGAGACTATACTTCAAAGTGTACTAAAAATGCTACAAGTATTTAATTAGTAAACTATCAGTTTACCTATAAGTTCACTTTTAGTATAGTTGCAGTACAAACTAAACATTTTGATGTAAACTAGTTGTGTACTCAAAGCTTACTACTGTTATACTTAAAGTATACTTAAAAGTATACTTTTATATACTAGAAAGTGGGCCAATTTAGTCCCAAGGAGTATTGAAATAGTAAAATTTGTTGAGTTTTAGTGCGATTGTATTGCGATTCCGAAGCACATCGTGCGTGGACGTGGCATGTGTGCCGCTTACCGGACCAATGAAACGCAACGCACCAATAGAGACAAATTCATAAGAAATGCACTATTGTGTATCGAGCAAATTTCATCTAAACAATTTGATAGGCTGTGGTTATTACAAGTGATTTCGCCAATTGGAAAATGATTTACAGTAATGTCCATCGTTTATTACCATACACATTTCAGTGGACAATGGACATTTAACGTTTATGTATTGAACTGTGAAGCAGCACACAAAAAAAGCGTTCTGGCTTGTCGCAATTCCTTGAACATGATCTATTCTTACCTGGTAGTAGACGTATTGAAGGTACCGGTAGGGTATCCTCTGTTCAAAAGCACCCAAAGTCTCTCGCTTAGGATATGATTTTGAAAACACGGGAAAGTTTGTTTTGCACCTTTTCAGGCATGCAGCTCGCATTATGATGTGCCCCATGATCAAGAGGGTAGTTTCCGTGTTGTTCTCCTCGTGTTCCCGGCCCACAGCGCTGCAGTTCTGGCTGCAGTGCGCTTCGCTGTCCTTCAGCAGCCGGTGAAGCCGCAGGCTCAGCTCCAGATATTCAGCGCTCTGCTTCCAGTCCTGAGCCGCGTACATCTCTAACGCGTGTCCGTACGCAGACTCCAGCGGCATCAGGTCGTTCGCTGGAAAGCTTTTGAAGCTGTATTTCTCATACTGAGCCTGCACAGTACAGAAAAGATAGGCAGAACTGAAAAACACGACTAAACATATTCTTGCCTGGGCCATGCTTCTGATCCTCACTGTAAGCACGGAGAGCGGAGATTCATGTCAGGCTGCACGTAGGAAATCTGTGGCCCTTTGGGGTTGAAGGAGTTTTACGGTGATGGAAAAGTCTGCATGCCTCACATATTCTGATCTGGACTGCATCTCTGGGTCTAAAAGTCCGTCAAATATAAGTAATCTATCCTGTTCCTTAACACCATTGGATCTGAGAAATGCTTAAAGTTCGAAAAGTTTGACAGATTGCTTTAAATGTGAATAAAAACAATAGCGACGACAAGCTTGTTATCTTCTTTTTGCCCATTTTTTTCTCACATGAATGCACTTATAAGTCCATGTATAGACTACTTTTGGTCCGCTGGATCATAACCTTATAATTGAAAAGGTTGGGTCCGATTTGAGCTTTCATTCAGTGACCTATATGGCGATTCATAAATGTTAGAGATGTTTTGTATGTCTTGTCAGAAATGCTGATGAAAGGCTACCTCGTAATAAACCCTAAATCGTCCAAACAACATATAGCCAGCCCGTTATGCATTCCTTATATTGACAAATCTTCATATTGTTTATGTGTAGTGGATCGAATAGAGAATGCAAACATTTTTGTTAAACATTTGTCTGGTGCCTGTTGTATTGTTAAATACTGCTTGTTGCTTAAAATTCAGGAACGCGTGATCGGATGGAGTTAGGACCGCGCGGTTGATGCTGCAGCTCCTGTGAAATCTGACCTGTTTTTATACAGTCTATGATTCTGACATGGAGAAGCGAAGAAAAAGGTCTATACCCAATAGTATGTTCCTGCACAACCGGAGGCTGCAGTTTCAGGACCGCTGTTCTAGGACCCTATGCTTTTGTAACAGCGCCATCTACCGAATTGGATCACTAAAGATGGACAGCAATCAGAGTGAGTAACTTTACCGATTTTCATTTAAGTTTTATTTTATAACCTTAAAACGATGCAAAGTTTACGTAGCCAACGTGAGAACTGCTAAGAAATAACAATGAATTCTCGATTGCTAGTTTTATTGATTATTACGATGTTCTTAATTCGTGGCCATGATTTAATTAAGCTAAACCTTGTTGACATAATGACTACAATAAGTAAATCTAGCCAGCACATTATTAATCTTGTTGATGTTTGAAAGGCATGGTCAGCGGTTTGCCTTCTGGACTGATGAGGCCAGACACTTGCTCCAAGGAGCTCTTCAGCCAGTGTACAGAGTGCTATCTCAGAGGAAATCCACATTCAGGCTGTCGATGAGCACACCGCAGAGGTAAAGACACTGCTGGACCTCATTGTGAAGTTATAGGGATCTGAGGAGCATTTAGTGGTACTTAAACAATGTTCACATTTAATCATCATTACAAACAAACTCATAGTAAGGGCCTTAATTAGGAATAACATTAACAATATCTTTTGACTATGCTGCAAATTATTGTATTTTTATCTTAAATGTATCAATTTCCTCAAAATAACTGTTTTTGCACCATGGTTTGCCCATAGGGTGTACTCAACGGGAAGCCCTCTAAGGTCTCATAAGCTAACCTCCTCCCGAGTGCCTGTCTACCTCGACAGCGAGGAACAACTGTCCTGTTTGCCGATCTGAGAGGAGTCACCAACACAACTGAGCGTCACAGATGAAGTGCAGATGTATGCCGGACCATGTAATGTGCAGTATATTTCAAGAAACTAAGACTTAAGGTACTCCACTTTTTCAGTTGTTTAAAGACTGAAATACATTTTTCATTTATATTTAAAGTGTAAATTCATTAAAATGTAAAAGTGTTAACTCAAAGCAGGTATTACACACTTTGTAATTAACAGCTGATGCATATATAAATCAAAAATCACAATTGAAATAAAAATGTACAACATGTACAAACATTACTACAAACTAAACCACCAGGTTCCTAGAAATGCGATCCTGAAACTGCAGCCTCCGCTATATTATCAAATTCGGTAGGTGGCGCTGTTACAAAAGCATAGGGTCCTAGAACTGCGGTCCTAGAACTGCTGTCCTGAAACTGCAGCCTCCGGTTTTGCAGGAACACCCTTCTCACTATATACGGTGAAAAACTGTATTGGACATCACATGTATTGGACATAAATTTTACAGTAGTATACCGCTTTTGGAAGTGAAAAATACCGTATAATTGACAGTGACTAACCGTAAATTGACATTCCCAGAATTCCCTGTGTTACATTTCAAATTTGATGTTTTTTTGTTGAAATAACTATGTTTCTTCTTAGTTTTTTCTTATCAGTTTTGTACATTAGGGTTGTGTGTTACACTTAATGTTGTTAAATGAATGTTTATTGCATTATTTCAGTTTCATGTGTGTTACCACAATGGTGTTTAGTGTTTGTGTGAATGACACTGTGCACCTTCTATATATGCTATTATTTAAAAGCTGCTTGTGATGGGCTTTGGTTCATCATGTGACTTTCTCATCACCACCTGCATTTGGTGGTTATCAGTGTATTACAAAGGTACAAAACAGATTTCAGTACTTCAATAGGTTGGTATATTAACATTATATCAGTTAAAGAAATTACGGTATTTAACTGTAAATTTTAGCTAAAACCTAAAACGTTGCTACCGTATTTTTTACGGTAAAATTCCGGCAACCACAGCTGCCGTTTTTTTACCGTAGATTTTACGGAATTTTTTTTAAAGTGAGAAAATAATTTTTAGCGTGGCAAAAGGGTAGCATTGGCTCTATGAGGGGTGGCAACACCAAAGCAAGCCCCCATGCATAGTTTTTGGGGATTTATGGTCTGATATACACAGTGGTGTTCACAAATATTGTATTACCATTAAGTAATCATCTATACAGTTTAAAATGAAAAATAAATAACAACATTTCAATATTCATCATGGCACCAAGTCAATGCACAATATATAAAAAACTTCAACAGGTTATATATGTTTCGGAGCTTTTATCACCAAAGAAGACATGCTATTAAAATTACAAAGGCTACTTAGATGGTATAATGACGTTTAGTGCAAGTTTAAGAGCAACAAAAACTTTCGAATTTCCTAATATTAGAAAGACATACAATAATATCAAAGCACTAAAACTGGATCAGTTTTGAAAACAATGTTTGATTTTCTGTTATGAACAGAGGTGGGAATGTCTGTAATCACACAGAACAAACTCTATCAACCATATACTCTAGCAACACCCCAGCAACTGCATAGCCAAGAGCCTAGCAACCACCCAGAATATCCTAGCAACCAACTAGCAACACTTTAGCAAACATCTAGAACATCTAACTGACCAAACCATTTATGTTTTTAAACAAGACTTTAAGACAAGCCAGCATAAATTTGTCTTTCAAACTTTTCAATCTAGTTATTACAGTTTTTCTTACAGGTTTTTTTTTTCAACTGCTTACCCACATTTTCAAAACTTTGCCTCTTTTTTTCAAAACTTTACACACAAATCCAAGAATTGCGCACACAAAATGCAAAATGCCTCACATCTCTTTCAAAATTAAGCACTGCATTCAAAGTATCACAAACACATTTCAAAAGCAAACATTTGCAGACACCTTTGCCATTATATTAATTCCTGTTAGATTTTGTGTGTTACAGAATTGTGTGTTGTGTTTTGCAAAAAGTGTTTTATGAAATTGAAAACCGAGTCAAAGGCCAAATATTAGTGTATGGTTTTGCAGATTTGGTGTGTGGTTCTGGTGTTTGAGTGTCAGGTTTCAGAAATTGTGTGACAAGTAAAGATTTTGTGTGTAAGCAGTTGAAAAAACTGTAAATGCTTACAATTCAAATACACAGATGACTTTCCTGCCCAGTGAACACTGAGATCAATAACACTGTAACAAAAAACTCTTACTAGGATTTGGGAATTATTTTTGCAGCTCAATGTCTATTACAGTATACATAAATTAAATTACAGATGTATAATTCATCAATGAACTTTTGGGAAAAAATCATTTTCATTTTACTAATGTAAAGTATTCTTCCAGTGGATGAAAAGCACTAGAAAAGTTCAAATACCAAATAATTGTATGAACTTGGCATACACCACAATACAGTACAGTAAAAAATAAAATTTAAAAAAGTAAATTTAGCATCCTCTGCACATTTGGCAATTCCATTACAGTATACAGTACTATAGCAGTTTCTTGGTCTCCTGACTCAAGACTAGCTATATCTTTAGGCCAGGGTTCCTCAATTAGTTTTCGACGAGGGCCGACTAAATACTTTTTTTCCCCACTGTATATATATATATATATAAATATACAGTATATTTATATAATTGTTATTATTATTACAATTATTATATTATTGTTGCTTTTGTTAAAATAATCACAAGATGGTCACATGATGAATATTGAAAATATTCCCCAGCAGTCTGTTTTATGCAAACAATTATGAACCTTTTTGCATTTAGATACAGAAGAACTTTGCCTGTTGAATATTAAAAACAAATGAACAAACAAAAAATCTGGATCTCCATGTCTGCCATGCAAATCAACTGTTCCTGTTCATTCCCAGACTGGAATCTTCTCTCCACTTTTCCTAATTGCAGATTCAATTATTAGATTTGTCAGTATTAATATTTTTATGCTTAGATTTTTTGGGGGGGTATCTTTTCCATGTAGTTTTTGTCCAAACCACCCGCGACAGCGACACGTCACAATAAGCGACATGGGATTCTTTTTTAGGAACGGTTTTTATTTTCTGCGACGTCGCGGCAGGAACAACATACAAAATATGACAGTGATAATCTCAGGCAGGGGCGGAGCCAGACATTATAAACATTCAGGGCTTAGCCCAAATGTAGTTGTCCCCTAAAACTTACTGCCAGATTCTTAAAGATAAATTCTTCAAAGAGTGGTACAAGCAGGGGCGGATTTAGTGAATTGGGGGCCCCAGGCAAAATATAGGAACGGGGCCCTATACATTTGCACACATTTTCCTAGATCAACCTTGAGGTTCCATTTAGTTGTTTTCAGCGTAAGCCTGTGTGCAAAGGCTGTCTAATTCTAAACTTTAAAATACATTTATTTTTAGTGGTTTTAACTACAAATTTAAATAAAACTGAAAAATAATGAAAAGGAAATTATACATTTACACACCTAAAATACATATATCACGAGCATGCTCACAGATGAGACCTGCACGGGTCTTTTTCCCCTTTCAATTTAGCCTTCTCAATCATCAGGACTTGCCTAAAATAAAATCTATATATAAAACAGTTCAAGTACATCACAATGTTAGTTTAAATGTTTAACCTATATAAATGTGCATATCCAATCGTTTGCGAAGGAGTGGAAGCTGAAGCGTGCTCTGCAGGACATGGAGGCGCCAGCGCGATCACTTGCATTTTTAAAAAATACTCAGTCATTTTTGCTCATAAAGGTAAGAGTAATACATCATTCTAAACTGTAAAGGGGCTAGTTTTATTTGTGTGCACTCACAATATCAATAAAACGTTGTGCTTTTATACAATAAAACAAACGCTTTCTGCCGTCTCGGCTTTGAACAGGAGAGCTTCACAATGATGAACCTAAACTCAGACATGATCAAAATATATAGAAAGCTTTAAATTACTACTTTAAAATGAAATAATTTAAATCGAAAATAGACTCCTAATAAAATAAACTCTTTCATTATGTAATCCCTGCATCTCTCTCTAAAGGCACATCCAATTAGGAAATGGCCAGTAATTTTTTCATCACTATAATAACTCTGCGGCAAATCCTTTCAATTTTAAGGTATTCAGAACAAAGCAATTTTGTATGATATGTTAATTATTTATATTTTTTTATCCATGCAGCAAATGCTTTAAAATTACTTTATTGCATTCCAGATGCTTTTAAAGTACTTTTCACTATACATTTTACGGGTAGCTTGAATGTAAACATTGTCATGAACTCGTTGTATTCCCATTTGTAAAATAGCAACAAACTCATTGTTGTAGGCTAACCCGATCTCACGAAAGTGCGTATAGCACGATTTTCTGCTTCTATTTGACTTTGGCATGCAAAAGACTGATAAATTGATAATTAACAGCATGGGTTCAGTCGACAGAAATACGGGACACAAAGGCCTATAATAACTGCTGAAATGTTTGCGGGACAAATCTCAGATCAGTCTGAGCGCTTGTGGTACTGTACAGCCGTACACCTGCAGGCACCACGGACTCGGACGGTTGTCGTGGTAGTAAACACCGTAAACAGCAAACGTTCGCGTGTCCGCGCTTAATGAGCATATCATATATGAAAAGCATTTTACGGGCCCTTGGCTTTTGGGGGCCCAAGGCGGTCGCCTACCTTTGCCTAATGGGGAAGTCCGCCCCTGGGTACAAGAGAATGTGGTGCTGGTCCTTGAAGAGTCACTCACAATTTATCTGTCCTTAAAGCCTATTTAAAAAAATCAGTCTTAATGTATTTCACAATACGTCAGCATGTTATTCTTATTAAGTGAGGGTCATTTTTTTTAGGATTTTTTTAGGACCCAAGCAAAGTCTCTGAGAACCTGACACCTTGTAATTCTGGAGACTCCAGGAAGGTTACAGTTCTGGAAAATGGTGGTGCTGGAGACTAAATGGTTCTTGATGATTTTACACCTAATTCTTCACATTAATTCTTAATTCTTTTGCAGTTAACGTTTGTCTTTTCTTCTCCACAGTTTTTTCTGACCCCGCTGACTCAGTGAGCATTTTGCTGTCCAATGGTCATGTCTTAACGTTACAATTTATTTATTGCATTAGTTTTTAATATTTCTCATGGGGATTTAATAATTTTTGACATCTCAGTCGAAGTTAAACTTCTTTTTTGGCTAATTCTATCTGTAAAAGAAAACATGCCTAATAATTATGCACACCTGAATATGAGTTTCCACTTCCAGCCTTCATGGACAATTATATATCACTTATAAATGATTAAATACAAAATCATTAGTAGTTATTAAGATTGATGGGGTTTGGAATTGGTAAAATGTGCTTGGGAAAAAAATATCGAATATTAACGTGCCTAATAATTATGCACGCGGTGTATGACGGTTTATGGACTTGCCTATTTCAAGAACAAATGTCAAATTTCAAAAAGGTGATTAACTATGCATAATAGGTAGAGATTTGGCATAAACAACTTTACTAATCTTAAAACCAATTTTGTTATACCATGCTGCAGTGAAGTTCATAGAATTAACCCAAATTAAAAATGTTGTCATGAAGAAGCTCGGCATCCATCCCGTCTTTAGTGGCGCTGGGCGCGGACGATGGCGAGGGGGTGGGGTCATTCACCGAGGCCAACAACTCCTCTGCACCCGACGCTGCTAATGGTATGCTGTCATCCAGCAGCTCGTCCTCACTTCCCCCGAATGAGGTCAGGTCGCTCGCACCAGCAGAGGGACGCTGATCAGACCGGGAGAAAAGGACGGGGTAATACTCTCTCTGCGGCGAGAGCAAGGCACGCGGGATCTGGGCCGGCGTGAGCTCGCTCGTAGCCGATCGCTCGACCCCTTTGCCCCGCTGTTTTTTCCCTCACAGGTCTCTGAGAGGAAGAAAACGGGAGGGCGCGGGGGGCGGAGTCGCTCTCTGAAAAGAAAGCGATCTGTGAGCGGAGAGAGGCGAGACTGAAGCTCTCGCAATGGGAGCAAATAGCTACCGTGAGCGCAGCTTCCGCATGGGATTTCCCCAAGCAGGAAACGCGCAGGGGGGACCCGCACGAACCGCAGTAACGGCGTGGCATTTGCAACAATGCCAATTTGCTCTTTTAGAAGCTCTTTTTAGAAATCGCTGGATGGCGGCAGGGGAACTGGACTGGAACTGCTGCGTTGCTGGAGCGGCGGAGAAGCAGGTCAGCCGTGCTGAGAGGTCCCGATTCCAGCTGCGAAGGCGTGTCAACGGCGAGCTCCGCTTTTTAAGCACTGCACGAACCAATGGCCGTGCAGTTTCACTGTGCGAATGAAAAGGCTTCAGTTCAGGAGAAAAAAGTACTTTTTCCCATATGCGTCTTAAGCAAGACGCAGTGTGAGTGAAGTATCGAAAGGGAACATTCAGTTTAACAAAAGGTAAAAAAACTCAAGTGGCTCAGCAATATTGAGAGTTGAGGTTAACACTCTAGATATGAGCATAACAACAATACTGACTGGAATACTATCACAGTTTTCACCATTTAACACTGTGTATCAGTTACACAACAACTAGCAACAGTAGTCTGAGGCTGCAGAGAAGTCCATGTGGGTTGAGAAATGTCTTCTTCCCCTCTGTGCCTTCTTGATGGCTTTTACAACTGGTTTTTACAGGAGCCAATGAGTGAAGTGCTAGTTGATGATCAGCAACCAGCCCCTGTTAGAGAAACAGCGCAGAAAAGTAAAAAAAAAAAAGGAAAACCAAACAGCATAGAGAAAGACAAATAAAAACACACGACTGCCCCCAGAACAGTACAAACTGTCACAGGACGTAACATGAATCAAGACTGAACTGACCTCAGCTGAACAATGACACTATTGTTTTCTAAGTGCTGTTTTACAGCAGAATTGGTCTCTTTTTGCATCTTCGAATCATTTTTCCCCATTTATCCTTGTAAATCTGCTTTGAAACAATCTGTATTGTGTAAAGCGTTATCTAAATAGGTGGCAACGCAGTGCTCACATCCAGTGTAGGCGAGTGTCAGTTGTTAAGTGAATTGGGCGGGGCCTATGGTGCAATCATGTATAACTATTCGTCGATATCTTGCTCTGGAGTCATATGCATGGATTTGCCCTTGTGACATCACAAATCCCCTAATATCAAAATTAGATGTTTTTGAAAAAGGTTAAACAAATTTTTTGTTTATAATGAGGACGTTTTAAGTTATGAAACTTGTAGGATGTTTTAATGGTACAAAGACCTCTTGTATGTCAAAAGATCAAGGCAAATCTGATTTCTCATTTCACATCCTCTTTTTAAAAATGCCATTCCTTGCTTAAATTTGATGTCCAAAATGTTTTTTGGATAATTGATCAAAATGCACATATTAGTTTATCAATTGCACTAATTTCTCTCCATCTGCTTGACACTTTATTGTCACTTTATTGAATTTATTGTTATGTACCTTACCTGTGTCTATTTGAGTTTCGCATTATCCTGTGCACGTATACTCCTGAGATAGTTCTGTTCACGGTAAGTTATTGTCTTTGTATTGGATGCAGAGCTGTTGCAGGTTTTGTTCTTGCCCTGGTCTGGTTGTTGATTTAAATAAATTGCTGCAGGTTGATGCGTTAGCCTGCCTTGGACAGATAACCAGTGGTCTGAAACCATTTGCTTTTGTAGATTATTTCATTCATAGTGGAATTGTGGATTTTAAATAGTTATAAACTCCCTTTCCACAGTCATAAGCCACAACAATCTTCTTTCTAGTTTTGAACTTGGCATAATGGTATCATGTAAACATAAGGGGTGGCCATTAAAAATGTTCTAATAATTTTCACTTGATTCCACTAATTGATGCACTTTATTGTTATTTTAGGACACTGACATACTAAGTTAGTAGGGTGTACTAACTTTTTCCATACAAGAAATGGGCATTTTTTATAGGTTCAGTTATCCCATCTGACTCAGCACTGCTGTTTCTCTCTAGGTTCAGTTATCCCACCTGATGCAACATTGGTGTTTGATGTGCTTTGGCTGGATTTGTGGAATAAAGAAGACAAGGTTCAAATTCGTACACTTCACAAACAGCAGAACTGCAAAAGGACAGTGATGCCTAGTGACTTTGTCCGCTATCATTACAATGGATCTTTGTTAGTGGGAAACCTATTTGATTCCAGGTAGGCCAAAATTATAACAAATCTGACTTTTTGGGGAAAAAAAATCTTCATATGCACTGCTAAAATTAAGGGAACACTTAATTAATAAATTGCATCACGATGAATGAATAGTTGTAAATCTTTACTTATCTTTACATAATTGTGTATTCATTGAGAACAAAATGATGTGACAATGGTCACTGGAAACCAGAATCATCAACCCAATGATGGCTGGATTCAAAATCACATTGAAAATCAAAGTATAAAATTGAAATTGCACACTGATCGAACTTGCATGAATTTCATCAAAGCAACTCATAATGTAAGTCAGTAGTGTGTATGGTCCCCACGTGCCTGTATGCATTCCCAACAGCATGCTCCTGATGAGATGGTGGATAGTGTATTGGGGGCTGTATCAGGATATCAGTGAGCTCCTGAACAATCTGTGGTGCTACTTGGTGCCTTTGGATACTCTGATACATAACGTCCCAGAGGTTCTCAATTCCATTCAGGTCTGGGGGACATGAGCACCAGTTAATGGCATCAATGCTTTCCAGAAACTGCCTACGCAGTCTGGCCGCATGAAGCCAGACATTGTCACGCCTGAGGAACCCAGGGCCCACTGCACCAGTATTACACTCTGACAGTAGCTCTGAGGATTTCATCCTGGTACCTAACAGCCAGCAATGAGGGCATCATTGGCTAGCACATCCCCAGACCATCACTGACCCACTGCCAAAACAATTATGCTGGATGATGTTGCAGGCAGCATAACAGCAGCATAATAGCAGACCTGTCAATACTGGTGTCTGGCAAATGCCAAATGCCAATCAAGCTGCACAGTGATGGGCTGTGAGCACAAGTCACGCTACAGGACGTAGGGCCCTCATGCCACCCTCATGGAGCTGGTTTCTGACAGTTTGGTCAGGAACATGCACACCAGTAGCCTGCTGGAGGTCATTTTGTAGGTCTATGGCAGTTCTTCTTCTGTTCCTTGTTGCACTAAGGAGCAGATACCAGTCTTGCTGCTGGGTTGTTGCCCATCTACAGCCCTGTCCAGCTCTCCTTGTGTAATGGCCTGTTATCTCTTCCATGCTCTTGAGACTGTGCTGGGAGACACACCAAACCTCCTTGCGACGGCACGTATAGCCATCCTGGAGGAGCTGGATAACCTGAGCAACCTGATTGGGCTGCAGATACTGCCTCACACTACAAGCAGTGAGAAAGACCATAACAAAACACAAAACACAAAACTAGAAACAAACCAGTCTGGAAGAATGAGGAGAGAGAAATTGTCTGTGGCGACCACCTACAAAATCATACCCCCTTCTTGCTGTTGCCTCTCAAGTGCACCTGTTGTCACTTTTATTTGCACCAAAGTAGGTGAAACTGACTATAACTATAACAATTGACTTGGTTATACTGTGATGATTTAGTGTTCCCTTAATTTTCTAAGCAGTGTGTTTATGTTTTTTTATATTTTGGAACCTTACAAACTTTCGATTTAAAATGTGTAAATTTTAAAAAGTGTAAAGCATATATGTCTTTAAAACCAATATTTGATATTTTTGATTTTTGTTAAATAATGCAAACACTTATTACATTATTACAAACAATTACATTTTTAATTATGGCTCAAATTGTCCAAATACCACACACACACTCACACACACACACACACACTTATTTCTAAAGCACATTTAAAAACAGCCAAAGCTGACCAAAGTTTGTTTGTTTGTTTGTTTATTTATTTATTTATGTCTGTAAATTCTTATCACAGCCATCTTCAAAACTCAACATATGACTCATATGTGGGGCAGGGCAGTCTCCTCAAAGGCATGGAGGAAGGCCTTCTGGGCATGTGTGTTGGGGAGAGGAGATTGATTACAGTTTTTTACGATTGCTTAAGCACAATTTTGAAAACAGGGCCACAATTTTGTTTGTCAAAACACTACACACAATTAACACAACCCTACACCAAAATAGAACAACACTTCAGATCATTTGCAAAATGGAACACTTTTGTCAAAACTATACACAACTTTATAAAAACAATATTTTGTGACCATACGAAACACACACATTTCATATGACTTTAATCTTTTTGAACCAGTTACACACTGCTGTTGCTAACCTAAAACACTTTTAGCAAGTCTACTTCTCAGTGATTAGAGTACTGTAAATGAAGTACACAGAGAAAGTGCAACTATACAATAGTTCACCAAACACTACACCAGACCAATGCTGCAGACTGACGAAAATATAATTGATTTCTCTCCATATACCCAAACCAGTCAAAATGGAGAATCACAACAAAACATGTCCCAGTTGTCATGCTACTACAGTAGTGTGCATAACACTGTTAGCTCAGCAAACAACAGACAAATGTAAAATACTGTATCCAGTACAGGTTACAATTACAGTAAATAACAACAACAACAAACATAAGAAATAATCTGAAAAAACTGACAATATTGTACAGAAAATACTACAGTAAACATACTATACATTATCTCTTCACCTAGCTGGATCTGGCCAGAGAATTTCATCAACATCACAAGCAATATCCTCATTAGCAAGACAACGCGGGAAGAACCGTCTTGAATGTCGAATCCATCCTTGCACAGCTGGGGCGTCGACTTGGTCACAGGCATTGTCATGCTACTACATGACGTCCTCCATGGCTTGAATGAGGGGTACCTGAGCCTGGGGCTGGAGATCGTAAACCTTCCACCGCCATGCAGAGAAAAGCTCTTCGATAGGGTTTAGAAACGGAGAGTATGGTGGAAGTATAGTACTGTCAGCTGTGGATGGTGTTGAAACCAGTTCTGGACCAAAGCAGAGCGGTGGAATGACACATTGTCCCAGATGACAGTGTATTGTATCTGGTGCATTTCATTACCTGCTGTGACGATGTGGTGCAATCGGTCCAAAAATGCGAGAATGTGAGGTGTGTTGTAAGGGCCCATTTTGGCATGACGGAGGAGAACCCCATGCTGTGAAATGGCAGCGCAAAGGGTGATGTTACCCCCACGTTTTCCTGGGACATTGATTATAGCCCTGTGGCCAATGATATTTCTGCCTCTCCTTCTTGCTTTTGTGAGGAAATTAACTCATTTGTAATTTGTTCTTTGTTTTCAGGGAGTACTGGAAATGGATGCTCATGCAATCCCACATGAGTTCATCTTTATAGATGAGGCTGGGTTCAACCTAGCAAAGACCAGAAGAAGGGGGAGAAACGTCATTGGCCACAGAGCCATTATAGATGTTCCTGGCCAACGTGGTGGGAACATCACACTGTGCGCTGCCATCTCCAGTATGCATGGTGTCCTCCACCGTCATGCCAACCTTGGACCATACAACACAGCCCATATTCTCACATTTCTGGACAGAGTTCAAAACATTCTCATACCACCAGAGCGTATGAATGATGCAGGCCATCAAAGAAACCAGTACGTTGTAGTATGGGACAACGTGAGCTTTCATCGCTGTTTAGTGTTTTGCAAATCACTGTGTGTAATGTTTTGCAAATAGTGTGAAGCTGACAATGTGCTTACAGCTGTGCAAATTTAGCCTTGTGTTTTGCTCCTTGAGTGTAAGGTTTTGCTAATTGTTGGAAAAGTTTAATTTTAGTGTGTAAGCAATCGTAAAAAAATGTATTATCCCACCATTTCTGGCTTATGATGACAAAGGATATGGTATAATTATTGATTGCTTTAATTTTTTATACGACATGTATTGATTGATATTTACTCTGCGTATTAACTCATAATGCTTATTAGTAGCCTATGTGTGACAATATTTTTGAAGTGTAATATTTTTGATATTTTATGAGATCCTGGATTTCATTAAATGTGATGTGTCTGAAGCATAGTCTAAGAACTTCATCCTTAGGCACAAAGGTCCCTCCATATGCAACTCTAATTTTTGACGTGTTACTGGTGGACGTGTTTAATGTGAAGGATTGATGTGAATGTGGAGGTTCAAAAGATCCCACAGCCATGCCAGAGAAGGGCAGTGGGGGGAGATTTCATACGCTACCATTATAATGGAACCTTTCAAGATGGCACTGTCTTCGATTCCAGGTCAGTCTATCATCTAGAAAAGAGATAGTTTCATATTACAAGATGTATTGCAAATGTTTGTGTTGAAGTGCTGCCATTAGCAAAATGCAGATCATTTCTATTTCACGAGACTGTTGACACATATCAAACGTCATAATTTTTTTAACAAGGAAGGTTTTTACATGGCTAACTTTAATAGATATATTTTTTAACATCCTCAGTTATTCTCGAAACAGCACTTACAAACACGTTTATTGGCATGGGCTATGTGATTGCTGGCATCGACAAAGCCCTGCAGGGGGTCTGTGTGGGTGAGTGGAGATGAGTCACTGTGCCGCCTCATCTGGCCTGTGGAGAGAATGGATCAGGTGACTATCAGAAGGAAATTAGAAGAGCACTGGAACCTTTTAAATTACATAATGCAACATAAGCATATTGAAATGTTAAAGGATGCATTCTTGCATTTAGTTTCAACAACTTTTCAAATGATCTGATATAAAATTTCAAAATGTATCATTGTAGGCATAAAGATATTTTACATGTTACATGCAATAGTTCACTGTGTTCCCATATGTGCGTACGAAGCCTTCTGAAAGTATCTTGTATTTTATTTCATTTAACATCCTTTATATATTATGTAGTAGTCTATTTTGTATTCTTCATATAATTTACCTGTTTAATCTATTTAACATTAAAGATAACTGAATTTGACTTTTTTGAAAGTAGAATAAGACTGATGTGACTGTATTTTTCTCAACTGTACATTCTCAGGTGAGCTGATCCCAAGATCTGCCGTGCTCATCTTTGACCTTCATATCATTGACTTTCAGAACCCTAAAGACCAAGTGGAGATCAAAGTGATCTACAAACCAGCTGACTGCAACCTGACAAGTGCTGCAAATGACCTGATTATGTACCGTTACAACTGCTCTCTGCTGGATGGCACACATCTCTACTCTTCATAAGTGCTCTCCATTTGCACCATGTGGTTATTCATTTAACAAGGTGACTATTGATGTTCAAGCATGGTTTAACTGAGGTTCACAAATCAGTATGACATCTTTTGGTATAAGCAGAATTATCAATGGATAGGTGTGCAGTACACACTTTAATCAAATAAAAACTGCAAATGTGGGGGTGCGCCAGAATCGGAACTGGGAACTGCACTAGACCAATTAATTTTCATATTCATTCAAGGAATTATGCATGTTGTACCAGATATTTTAAATGTTCAATATTTAACTAAATGACAATACAATATACAATTAATAATGTACAAATAATAATGTGCAATATTTAACTAAGCAGCATTTTTTTTTTTACAATGACTTGAAATTTGAATCTGTTACCTGTTTTTCAGTTTTATTGTATTTGCTGTTGTGTACAATTATTGATATTTCTAGAATAACTGATATTATTCTAAACACTATTAATGGATTATCTGCAGAGATGACTACCCAGAACCCCCACGTGTCACGTTAGGTCAAGGGAAGTTGATTGCCGGTCTGGATAAAGGTTTGCAGGGCATGTGTGTGTTAGGGAGGAGAGAGATCACTGTGCTGCCCCACCTCGCACATGGCACCAATGGAGGTCAGTAACCACACTATCAAAATACATTTCAAAAACTTTTTAGAAAGTCAATTCAGTTCTGAATTAGCTATTTTGCTGAAATCCAATGAAGCATCACATTTATATCCTACACTTAGAATTCTAATCCCAGAATGCACTGCAATGAGCTCAGTACAACGACACAAATGTTAAGAGAAATATTGACTATATTTACATGCACATCAAATTCCATTTAAGGTTTATATTTGGGTTACATCCATGTTCTGAATGTGTTTGAATATGTTTCTATTCATACAGGCATTATAATATTATTGTGTACATGGTTGTTTTAAGTATGGCGATCTATAAATCCGTGTTTCGTTTCCTGTTGTTAATTCTCAGGAGTTTTAAGATGCTGCAAGAAACACTTTTAAAATTAAAATAACATGAAATTGCAACTACAGCCACCAGATTACTGCAGAGCATTACTCAATGGCTCATTCGCTATTTCCACATAGATATACATCTTTTTAGATATACAGTTTTTTTTGTTAAGACATCATTATATAAAATCATCATTATAACAATAAAATATTCTTTGTCAAAGTTTATTTTTATTTTATTTATTTTGCAATTATGGCACATAATTACAGTCAAACCTGAACATGATGTTTTGTGTGTTTGTGTGTGTGTGCATGCATTTGTTCTCTATTGTGGATGTTTTGTGGTGTCCCTCCATCATTTCTGTGTGTGTTCTGCATTGTAGCTGATTTGCTGGATTTTCTGAATGGATTAAATATGAACAATAATTCATGTCTTAAACTATAGCTTTAGATATTTAGTTTGAAAATGGTTAAAGTTTCCATGGTCAACTGCAGGCAGTTTCTTAGTTTTCCCGTTGCATACCATGCTTGTCAAAATGATGATTCATCAGTTTCCGTTAGTCCCACCCACAATGTTATCTTTATGACATAAGGACATAATAAGATGTGTGTGTTTGTGAAGTTAAATGTGAAAATAGTGAAACATCAATCAGTCAATAAACCTCACTCCCCTGATCTCAAGAGGTGCACTAGCAACTGACACTAGAGGCTGCGGTCTTTAGCATCCTTGTTGAGGGGAGTAGAACCAGAGGGGTTACTCAAGAGCCGAAACACAGATTCATTTAAGTATGAAACATCGCAGTGTTGGTCTGAGATGCACCACCATTTTGCTCTGGCTTTTTTGGAACTATTTTCTTTGGCGAAAACAGACCAAAAACAGACAATAGTATGTCCAAGATGTAACCTACTCAATATTAACTTTTTTTTTTTAACTGTTGTATAAAATCATGCTGATATTCGGGAAAACAGTACTCTCGCTTGTGTGATGTCGCTAACTATATCTTATGAATATACAGTGGGGCAAAAAAGTATTTAGTCAGCCACCAATTGTGCAAGTTCTCCCACTTAAAAAGATGAGAGAGGCCTGTAATTTTCATCATAGGTATACCTCAACTATGAGAGACAAAATGAGAAAAAAAAATCCAGAAAATCACATTGTAGGATTTTTAAAGAATTAATTGGTAAATTCCTCTGTAAAATATATATATATATATATATAAACTCATACAGGCATATTTTTGA